AAAAAGCCACTTATTCCATTATTAAAAGAAAGAAAAATTCATTAGTTCATGATTCGATTTAATTACCTTTGAACCAGAATCAAATAGAATCATGTCTATCACTAATATTAAGCTCTGAAAAAAAAAAATTTAGCAAATTTTGATAGAAATTGATGAAAAGTATTAAAATTTTGATAAAAGTTATAAACTTATGAGATGTGAAGCGCACACCAAAATAAATAAATAAATAAATAAAAATAAAAAAAACATAAAATTTTGGTTTTGGGGGGGGGGGGGGGGGGGGGGGGGGATGATATTGATTTCTAGTTTTGTGGGATGGTATAGTAGCCGGCTATGGTTGGGTTGCCTATGGTCGACAGGTCGATGGCCGACGATTTTGACTTGTTTGGAGTGGATGGGGTGAATGGGATTGGTGGAGAATAGTGTAGAAGATGATGATGTTTTATTTTTGATTTTTTAATTTAATTTTTAAACTTGTATAATGTAAGAAAAATGCAAACTTATCATTTTAACCTTTTCAATTTGGTCAAATTGATCAAATTTTAATTTCTTTGGTCAACTAACTGTCAAATAGATGGATTCCATCCACACGGACTCCAAATGCATATATCTGAAAGGTTAGGGACCTCCGCCAGCACAAATTAAAAGTTAAGGTAAAGTCTGCAAAATATGAAAATATTAGGGACCGTTGTTGCAATTTTCTTGATTATAAGTTGGTGGATTCCATGAAATGTGTGGTTAATAAATGAATAAAAATTATAAATTCAATAAAATGTATAGTTGAAAATGAAGCTTGACCAGCTTATAATCAAACAAAAAAACTTCGTCAAACAAGGGATAACTAAATGCCAAGTGAGAAACTTAGCGAATAACTGAATTTATAAAGACGAGATATTTTATAGGGTCAAGTGCCACATAAATTGACAACAGCAAAAAATTAAACTTTCTGTCACACTCTTATGGTGTGTATATATGCACACACAATTATATGCATGCAAGTCAAAGAGAGAGATTCGACCAACCTCTCCGTGGAATTCAAGATCTCATAGTAGAAGACAGAAAAGTTTAGAGCCAGACCAAGTCTGATGGGATGAGTAGGGGGGGAGATCTGTGGAAGCAGCGCTAGTGGCAGCCTGCAATATAGAAGATCAAGTTCAGTAAATATTACGGTTCCTCAAATTCAGCCAAGGAAGATAAAATTTTCGTAAATTCCAAACATCAGATTTTGGCTTAGGGAGATCATAAACATGAGAAACCATACAAAATGTGGGAGGCAAAAGAACTATAGCAAAGAAAGTTACAACTTGATACCACCCAAAAAAAAAAAAAAAAAAAAAAAAAAAAAAAAAAAAAAACCTTTTAGGCCTTGAGTAACTTGTCAGCTGCCTCTTCGCGATCATCTCCTGTTTTGAACTCACCTAAGTAATGATAATAGTCTCCCTTCCTGAAGGAAAATTTACTTGAAAATATAATTAGGCCCTGTTTGAGCCACGTTAATAAAAAAATGATAATGAAAAATATAGTCGTTACGGGCTCCACACAAGAGATAGATTTTCAAATATGGTGACTTGATGTGATGGATAACGATCATAATTTTCATTTCAATGAGTAAATAATGGGAAACAAACGGGGGTTAAATGGTGATAGAGATATCCTTTTGGATTATAATATACTCTACACAGCCATTAGATAGCTTGCAACTAAGCCATCCACAGAAAATCACATGGAAAGATGAAAGAATGAATACGGTGTTTAACTCGCATATATCCACACCAAACATTTGAAGGATTTTAGGGATAATGTTAAGTACGGTGACCCAAACTCTGTTTGAACCGGCCCTAAAAGCTTGCGGTGTGACATATGTGGTGAAACTAAAATTATGAGAAAAATAGATGTTTGTTGTGGTATCAGAGAGATTGGGCCGATCTGTTTTATCATATATATGATATAGGGTATCATAACATCATATCATTCGGAAAGTTGCACTTCTTGTAATCATCTTTGATATATAGTGAATTTCTCTTCATCTACCCGTGATTTTTTCCCTTCTTGGGCTTATGTAAATGTTGTGTTTTTGTTTTTTATTTTATTTTTTCTATTCTCGCTTTTTTGTAACAAATAACGTTTGAACGTTGTACAACAAAGAGAAAGAGAAATTTGACAATAAAACAAACTCACATCTTGTAATAGAAAACAGCCGACTCTACTGTCGAGGAAGATGGAAGGAGGTGCTCTTCGATCATGGATAATATGTCATTGCATATCTTAGGGGAGCTAATCTTCAACCCTCTGTCTGTAGCTCTTTGTCCTCTTCACATTCTGTTCATGTTCCTTGCTCTCCTCTTTTTGTTCGATAGAAGACAAAATTTGCCATGATGCCCTTCTTGCCCCAGTGACATTCTTATAACTGACCGACACCAAATTCCTCCCATCGACAGTCAGTTCCACATCCAGTTTCGCAACATTCTTCATTGCTTCAACCATTTCTGGAAAAAAAATAAAAGAAAATTTGCGAAAAAGACGTAGATGTCATTAGGACTCGTATGTCAACTTCCAAATATTCTACAAAGTACAAAGACAACATAGAAGATTTTACGAAATCCTGCCAATCCTCTCTAGTAAATCTATAAATGACATAGCCAAAATAAAACTCCACCAGAATCACATAAAAAGGGGAAAAAAGAAACAAAAAAAAAAGGAAAAAGAAAAGATTTTTAGCCCTTGTCTTCCAGTGTGTGAGAGTCTACGGTGTTATGCAAGACTGAATTTAATAAAAAATACAAGATAAACTTATGTATTCCACCTACACTAAACAAAATAAAAAAAAAATTTTAATCAAAATTATGCAAAATTAAGAATAAGTAGATCGAAAATGACTCTACTTCCAGTCAATAAAACAGGAAAAATTCATCAAGAATCCAAGAAAAAACACAATAATTAATAAAATACATAATCAACCAAACAGGTCACAGGTGCCCCAAAACTTCTTTTGTCCAACACAAAAATTACACCAACCCAATAACACCACAAACAAAATGAAAAAGAAAACCCAGTACTCAATTTAAGAAAAAAATCACAGCACACCCAAAATACAAGACGATCTCTTCTTTTTCATCCCTCAGATAATAAGAAAAAAATTGCATATACAATATATACCATCATACCTCTCAGCTTGCTCTCAAAGCCTATCCAAGTAAATGTGCGGCTCTCTCTCCTTCTCCATTCCCCTCTCTCTACTTTCTCTCTCCTACGTTCTGCAAGTGATGAGATGAGGAGGATGGCTCTCTCTCTCTTTCTTCACCGTTTGGCCCCCATTTTGTATAACCTAGTGTTCGATTCACCC